GCGCGCCGTGCGCGCTTAAGTCTACTGGCATCCTTGGTCGTGGCTGGCCCAGACCTTCTATGGGCCACCCTCCAAGCTGAGGGTAGTTGGTTGAAGACCCTTTGTGGTGATCTGAAGTGGCTTGTTGACTGCGATTCTGCAGAATGGCCGCGACTAGGTGCAGCAGGGTGGCCAGAGTGGTTCACTCTCATCCGCGATCAGACTGCCCGGTTTAAGAGACGGGTGGCCCTTCGTCTCAAGGCCGCCCACAAGGAGATATGCGCGACTGATGTTGTATCAGTATGCCAATGGGCCATGTATCGGACGCTACCTAAGGTCGCACAGGATGTCCCGCGGCGACCTTTCTGGAAGTGCTGGATGTGTGGGGTGTCCTTCGATACCAAGGCGAAGCTCAGTGTCCACTACTTCAAGACGCACAAGCGGGTAGCTGAGTATCGGCGATTCGCTACAGGGTCGTATTGCGCGGCGTGTGGCAAGGAATTCTGGTCCCATGGACGACTGGCTGCGCACCTTCGGGCTTACCCTCGTTGTGTCGAGTCCCTCCGACGCAGTGGTTGTGCAATCCCGGTCGAGCCAGGTTTTGGTAGTCGTCGACGACGAAAACTTGATGTTGAGCAATACACCCCTGCTGCTCCAGTACGTGTTGGACCTATGAGGGAGCCAGCACAGGAGACCAGCTGGGGTCCTCATCTGACGAGCTACTACAAGGACCTGTGCGAGGCAGCTTTTGAGGTCACTGAGGCTGGTGACTTTGAGCATGTGATCAAGAGTGCCCTTGCATGCTACCCGCTCTACCCAGACGAGATTTGCGATGCCCTTTCCCTTTTGGTGACCGAGATGGAGTTTGTTTTTGAAAGTGATATACCACGACAATGGAGCAGGGCGACACTAGATGTCATGCAATCTGCCTGTCGAGCTGTGTCGGCGGTGGTCTGGAGCGCTCCGGACGAAGCACTGCCACAGCATGAGAAGAGCCAGACCCTTGAAGACTTTCAACAACTGCTCCAGGAGATCCAATGGGACCAGGAGCTCAAGCGAGTGATGCCTATGCACGGGACCCAACCTAGCACTTTGTACATCCTGCCTTCCACCTGGGAAGCTGAGTGGGGGAAGAGTAGGGAAGTGTTCGGCAGCTTGGCCGTGCTAGATGATCCACTCGCTCTCCTGCCGTCGGTCCTGAAGGACCTTTGGCAGGAGTTGATGCAAGGACGGGCTGTACAGCTCAGGGCTCCTGCTGAGTTCTGGCGAGGCCCGCTAGCTGGACCGTTCCAGCTACTGAGGGAACACCCCTGCAATTAATTAAGCTGCGTACTTCCTCTGACAGCATGGAAATGGAATTCATATATATATATATATATATGCATATTTTAACCTGTACCTCTACACATCCATGTACGACCACATCATGTCCGAAAACACATTGACATGTGTATACATACACAGGAACAAAGGAACCAGAGATGTGCATACACGCGCTGACAAGCAGGATACCTTCGAACTATTTTGGCAAGATGTGTCGGTACGCTTCACAAAGCTTGACAAGACAGCCATCCTGACCCTATTGGGGCCAACACTGAGAAGTTTTGGGGTTGTAGAGCTCACATCTGGCTTGCACTATTGCAGCCCAGGGCCGTGGCACGCTGCGGCTTCTGGAGCTATGCGGAGGCAGGATCGGGTTTGTTCGTCCCGGCGTTGTGTTTGTGGGTTCCAGGTAGCGTTACTGACATTTCGAGCGCAAGCGTCCCATGTCATGTAGTCAGTTGCTGCGAGGCTTGTTCGAGGTGATGGTCCGCTTCAGCGTCCTTCCCTATCGAAATAGAAAGATCACTCGCATGCCCTTGCACAGCCTGTGGCTGTGTAGCCGGCAACTGCGCCCGCCATACTGTGTTCTCATAGAGCAAAATCTTTGACAAATGTACTGTGATGCACCAGAAATGTTTGCAGCAGTCATGGGTCGCGAGGCCTGGAACTCTCCAGCCACACAGCGAAAAACGCTGCAAATGCAAAAGAGACACAGTTAGCGTTATGCATCTTGTCAATGTATAGCACTCAGTATGCATTGGATTGTCTTAGCAATACTATTTCACGATGTTTACTACGCGTACAGTATGACTGCGCTTGTCACTGATCTCCCAGGAGTGTAAAAATGGTGAGGATGGAGAGAGAGGCATGAAGAAATCTTTCCCATCCCTGTAGGCGTTGGTGCCATAGGCCTCAGCCTAGCGCATGCGGCAGCGACGCTTTGGTCTGCACTCAAAGCTCTTCTGGGTTTGAGGCTTAGGTTCATGGGTTCAGGACTCAATTCTTTCCTGATGACAGCTGCATGTCGCGGAGCGTGCCCAGACCCCCGGGACGATCTAGATCCCTTAATGGGGGGTTCCTATAAAGTACCCTTAGTAGTATAGGGCCCCAAATTAGGGGATCTACTTTCTAGATCCTCCCGGGGGTCTGGGTGATGAGTGCTTGCAACCTGTGTGACCCTGCCACGATCAGGATTTCAAAGGCTTTCCCAAGCGTGGCGCTCCTGAGCACCGAGACCAGCTCCTGCAAGACCAACATTTTCTTTCGTGGTCTTTAGGGTTTACCTGTAGTCGAAAAGACCTACCTTTTAGGGTTCCTTATTATGGTTTTTATATATAAATCCTTAAGAAGGTAGATCTTTTCGGCTACAGGTAGGGGTTTAGGGTTCAGGGTCGGTCAAACAGGGGGTATGTCATCAGAAAGACATACTTCGTATGGTCTCCACGACTGCGGCAGAAAGTATGCGGGGATGTAGTTACCAGGTTTGCAATGAATTATCTGCTGCATCAGACTCCTTGTGTTGTCTGTGTCCGCACAAGATCAAAGACTGCAAAACGCTTTCTGCAATGACAGCGAGCTCGTTCTAAGGACATCAATCCAGAAGGTGGGACACTGTTCAAAGCCAACGCGTCCCAGATTTTTTCCAGCATCAGAGAGCACCGCAGATGAAACCAAGACACCTGATTTTGCTGATTTGTTTGAGGCTCAAGTTGTGTGTGGTGTTTCAGAATTGTTCGCTTGTGTCTGCAGTTGAGGCACAGTGCAGTGCGCACTGAGTTTGCTCCCCTGAGCTTGCACGCAGCGCAGCTTGGCCCGCAAGCAGGAAGGTCAATCGCAGTCTGGGCGTATCGAAGCATTAGCAGCGGAAGAGCGGAAGCCGGAGGCATGAAGGTCTGCAGTAAGGAGCGCTTATGTGGAAAGTGGGCCTTAGAACGTCTTCGGGGTGTAGCCTATCCCCTGGACTCATGGTTGAAGTCAGGCAGGGTCACCATCTCGACATCGAGACTCTCCGGATTGAGGTTATGATTTCGCCTGTGGTGTCAGCACATGATGACAAAGGGAAAGACAGTGTATATAGGGTTTAGGTGTTTGGGGTTTAGGGTTTAGGGGACCAGGCTGCAGATCCTGACATCAACCGCGGAGCAAGGGCAGTTTGGCTTGGCGGTAGGGCTTTGTAAGCAAAGGGACACGAGGCCTGGAACCCTTCCCTCCCATCAGAGTGAACATTCGTACCTACACCCCGACGCCCAACAACCTTAACGTCCGCACACTAAGAAAGAACTCTTTTCAGGCTGAAGGCTGTAGTCATGGGTGTTGCACAGGCTGCGGAATGTGGAAGCGCTGGACGGGCCAGCCGAAGCCCACATGCTGCATCTAGTTGCAGGTTGAGGGTTGAGTCGTGTAGTTAGGTGCAAGGCATGTGTTCCACTCGAAACTATTTCCAACTGTCAGCTCTGCACACATGTGCGCCTCGGGCTTTTACTGTGGCCAATACTCGTTGCGACAGCAACAGTGACGAAATGACACATAGGCCAGAAAAGAGCTCTCTAAGCAATATACGTATCAAAAGATATACAGATTCATTACACGACACACTGTACCCAAGGTCTTAATTGTCAATCCCCCGCGCTCCGGACTATCTGCACGGAGCTGGCGCAGCGGTCGCCCAGCGGGTGAGGAGGACGTAGCGGTGCTAAGGTTCGGGCCCGAAAGCTTCCCAGAGGCTTCAATATCCCTCAATTAAGGAATATTCCTTAAGTCTTTTAGGGGTTTACTATAATTTGAGGTCCATTCCTTCATTAAGGGATATTGGAGTCTTTGGCTTATGTCCTTGAAGAGAAGTCGGCTTCAGGATCCAGGGAGACCTGTTAGGGTTTAACATGATTAGGTGTGTTCTTGAAGGGCTGTCGGCGTGTCTACCGGTCTGAACTCTGACACTGCAGTATTTGAGGTTCGGCATGTTGGGGGGGCTGGGAGATATGAGGATGATTGCAGATGTGTGTAAATACTAGTCGGCGGCCGATACATTTTCGTAAGAAGTTCACTCCCATGGTGCACAGCACAAGAAGTTTCCGAATGATGTGATGATAAAACCGCTGTGAAGGCTGTTGTAAAGTATGGCGATGGCAACACCAGGAATAAGGACTATGGCAGAAGTCCACCTACTAGTACATGCCTTTGTTTTCTTTCGGCACTTGTAGTCGTAGTCGCGATAGTCGTCGTCGTAGAAGTAGTACTACTGCCAGTGCTGGTGCCTCCACTGACTCACACTTGCAAATCTGCTGGGAAGTGGTCATGTGAGATAGGTCTTCAGGACAGTGCTCGATGTTCCAGGCTTCCGACTAGGATTGCCGGGTCTAGCACAACCCGACCGCAGACCTTCTGGCTGACGGCGTTCGGAGCTGAAAGCTTAGGTTCGGCTGTAGGCTGTAGAGCTCATTTCGACAAAAAATCACCAAGCGACTCGCTTGGGCTGAGGAGCTTCAGGACTTCTTAGGAGCTAGGCAAAACTGATCTGCAAACGGCTCGCTCACGAAGCAGGAAGCGCAGCAGATTCGAGACAGCCCGGCACTCGGTACGTGTGTGATGCTTCCATGTTTCAAATACTAAACTCGCAAAGCTGAGATTCTTCACCTCCGCACCGAATCATCCCATGGGTCGCCTGCTGACTGCAAGGTGCTGTCCGTGTCATTATCTACATGAGCTGCGGACCGCGGAGCTTCATGCAGGAGTGCATCAGTCAGGGCCCTTCCGAACAGCCGTTACCAAGCACTGTGCTGTAGAGGTGGTGTAGGAAAAACTGTTTGCAGAAGCAACTGCAAGCGAAGTACTTCTGAAGGTGAACTGGTGGTGGTAGCAACAGAAGTAGAAGCAGCAGTAGTAGTCATTGTCGTGGTCGTCGCAGAGAAGTCGTCGTGGTACTACCTACAGTCGTAAGCAGTAGTAGCAGTACAAGTACAAGTACTTGTACTTGTACTAGTACAAGTAGTAGCAGTACTACCACTACTACTACTACTACTACTACTACTACTACTGCTACTTCTACTGCTACTGCTACTGCTACTGCTACTGCTACTGCTACTGCTACTACTACTAATAGTACTAGCAGTACTAGGAGCAGTAGCAGTAGCAGTAGAAGTTAGTAGCAGTAGCAGTAGCAGTAGCTGTTGTTATTGTTGTTGTGATAGTAAGATGTAGGTAGTTGCTGTTGTCGTTGTCGTCGTCTTCGATGTGGATGCAGCATGGTTTTTGGCACAGACTTCACCTTCCATCGATTACCGTCAAGTCAAAACGCAGCGAAGGATGCTCGCCGATTGACTAGCCCAGGCGGTGCAACTTGATCGCAGATTATGCCGTGCGTTTTGCCTGACAGTTGTTGGTGCGAACCTTCAGGGGCTGTTCCATATCTGCTGACTGTTCCTGCCAACTGTCGAATTTCTACATCCCGCCTCTTCAAACTAAGGGCACACCGCCGTTTCGACTGGCTTCTTTGCGATGTTACGATTTGTGACCCATTCGCATCAGTGCTGATGCCGGCATGTTTTCATCGTTTGCATGGTCACAGTGGCGTCGTTTCGCGAAAGCCATGGTCTGAAGACGAAGCACTTCTAGCTTGATTGTGCGAGCACCCGATTCAGAACCGCTTTGCACTGCTGGAACAATTTGAACCCGAAGCGCCTTTCGCTCTAGGTTTCCCTTCACGGACCACATTGAAACTCTGGGCGTCTTCGTCCGGGAAGAAGCTGCCCTCGTGCCTTGCTGCGTGAATTGGGTGAATTGCATCTTATCAAATCTTCCAGAACATCTAGCTTTTGGCTTTTCGCCCCCTGAGATCGCAGATACAACAACACGGCGGCATGTTGACAGCAAAGTGGAAAGGCTTCTTGCAATTCTGATTTAGCGATGTGCTTGGTTGGGAAGCATGTTTAGTTTGTTTCCAGAACACGACTGCAGGAGGGCTGAAGCTAGAGTCGCTAGAGAAGGGCAGGGATGTGCTACTCCCCCTTGGTTAGCAGAACCCCGGAGAGAGCTGGCCGCTGAAAAACAGGAGAGCCGTTGCAAGAAAGTGATCCTTGTCCACCTTGGTGCAGCAGGCAAAAGAACAATGACGATTTTTACGTCCTCAGTTGTCAGTTGGCGGGACGATGCAAACTGTGCATCAACCTTAACAGAAGCATCAGAGCTGTACCAAACATCGTCTGGTCACTATGCATGTGTCATATGAATGTAAGCTGTCATGCTCATGAACAGCCATGTGTTGCACATTGGAGGCGCCACTTCAAAGCCAAGTGGAAAGCAGGGAGAGCTTGAAATGGCTGCCTTGGGACGAGCCCTTTGGTGTCAATCAATGTGATTGCGGTCTTCGCGTTTGTCTGTTTGGAATTTTCGGATTAGTTTGGTTTATCGCATATAGTCGCAGTTGCATACTGCTCCATCAATGATGGGAAGTGCCAGCTCGCGACGCTGGGTTCCTGCCGAATCTCAGGACCAGCTTTGCACGTGACGGCACACCGGCACGGCGAGAGGCTTCTTTGCAATTGGCGGGCACTTGCGAGCAAGTAGTGTTGGGCACTTACTCACAGCACTGTTACGGGCCGCTGCTACGACCATGACGACTGCCAGCAAGACTTCTGCTAGTTCTGCTGCTACTACTAGTACTACTTACTACTACTACCGCTACCACTACACCAGCATTGCTTGGGAGTCATTCTGCTCAGATGCCTCTTAGATGCAGCAGCCACCAACCTCGCATGAACCGATGAAGTCGTCGTCTGAGGAGCGCGGTCGTTGGCAGTGTCAGTTTCTGGTTGGCATCGAGGCATGGGCTCTGCTTTGGGGGCCTCAATAGCTAGGGTTTAGGGTTCCTCTACGGGTTCCTCTTAAAGGGGTCTTCAAGGATTCCTGCAAGGGGTACCATGGGGGTTTTTTCTAGGGCCTCCTCAATCAGTTGGGGGCCGGGCTTCTGATTCGCTTGCGCAGCAGGCTTCGCACCACTTCGGCGTGGTTGGCCGCGTGATCGGCTACCGCGGGAGTAACATGAAACGTATCGCAGGCACGACGAGCCCGAACACCTCAAGCCCGAATGGGCGATCCTTTGCATGTGTGCAGGTGCTAGCGGTGCGAAGATGAGGTTGCGAGGTGGGCCACCGAAGCCAGTAGCTGGCTGTATCTGCTCTGTACTTGCCTCACGGGCTTGGGGCTCTAAGCTACAATTTCCACTGCCATCGATGATGATGCAGAGAAGACGTGACAAACGATCAAACAGGCCGCGGATCTGGCTTCGTTGAGGCTGAACTGGGAGCCGAGTCTGAGGACAGCAAAATGGAAATCAAAGTCGTCATCGCAGCCTGCTGCACTTTTTGGGGGGGCGCTTCATAAAAAAGGATCCCACACGTTAGGAGTCGATGGCCATTGTGTGTTGCAGGATCCACTGATGCTATGTGCACGGCGCTTAGCTCGAAAGCACAGACTGTCTTTGGAATCATGTCGGCATGCTGCTTTGAGGTCAGTGCTCCGGACGTCAAGTCTTACCGACCCTTGGAATGGAGGGAAGTTCTTGTTTCTCTTCCAGAAGCGCACACTGAACACTACATAACCAACCGACTTCCAATCCCGTGCGAGAAGTATCCGTGGCATTCCGGCTTCCGGCTATCATAGGTCCCTTGTCGGCCGGGGTGTTTTTGTGATCTTGCTTGGCTGCTGAGGAGCCGCCGGATCGATGATCCATGATTTGTTCACGGAGGCAGGTGTGGTGGAGGTTGCAAAGCCCTGACTTGCTATGTACAGCCAGCTGCAAAATTGCTGCATCCCGAAGAAGGTTTACACCCAGTTTGTTGACTTTGTCGAGTTTTCGGGTGAAGCTGTCACCGCTCCTCCCAAAGCAGCTTGGCAGAGTGGTTCAGGGGTTAGCGTCCAGGAGGTGCACAGACAGAGTTGTTTGTTTCGGCTGCTTGTGGAAGTTCATGCGTGTTGTGCATCTCGAGGTGCTGGTACATGAAGGCGCTAGGGACTAAAATCTTCTGGTTTTCATCGACTTGTAAGATAATATTTTCTTCATTTAATATGCATTCGATACGCTTTCCGTTATCTTTGAAAGAATAGTTATAGGATTATGCAAAGAGATCATTATAAATTTCAAAATGATAAAGATCAAAAAATCAAATGATTGTGGGTGTAAATCGCATAGCAGCACCTCGGTTTGCGCACCGGTGCACCGGCCGGCGTAGTCCGACGCACGCGCACCGGCGCACCGATCGGTGTAGTCCAATAAACTCGCACCGGCAAACGTATGGATACCGGCCGGTGCAACTCGACGGACGCGCACCGGCGCTTCGGCAAATGCATGTGTACGTGCGAGTTGCCTCTAATCGGTGTGATCAGTGTAATCGATGTATGTCGGAGTAGTCGGTGCAGCCGGCGTAGTTCGGGGAATCGGCGCAGCCAGCGGCGTAGTACTGCGCAGTCGGCGTAGTCGGCCTCCATCCTCGGAGTTCAAGCTGGCAAGAGTTTTGAATTTAAAATCAGGGGCGCGCGATGAGTGTTCTATCCTCGGAATTCAAAGGCGATCAGAATTCCTATTTTAATCAGGGGCGTCGTATCTCAAAATTCTGAATTTAATAAATTCATGAAAGTAAGACTCTTTCTTTGGAATTCAATTTGATAATTGTTCTGATTTTGAAATCATTCTGAGG